AACAGGTACGTAGCCAGGAATTCGGAGGCAGCTGATTTTTTGCTGCCACCACCAGCAACTCCTCCCAGGAAGTCCCAGAACAAAATTTATTGAAATGCCTTCCCACTATAGTATGATTTATAAGTTAGTACCTTTGTTTTGAAATGACAGAACTAAGAATTAGAGATTTATTGTATTACTAAGTTTAAGCTTGTTGTATTAGTTCAATTTTGTCTTTATTATCTGATTTCTTTTTTTCCTATCTTTATAACTTACCAGTGGTAGAAAAGTAAGAGGACCACTGTATTTATTAGAGTTAGGATACTTTTTTTCCCTGTTACTTAACTAGTAGAATGATGACCTCCTCAGTTAAATGAATTATTCAGATTCCTTAGCTTTACTAGAAAAAGCACAGTATTTTATTATGGAACAAGCTAAAGCAGATTGTCAGTCAAAGCATTATATATTTAACTTTTTTTAACATCAAGTTAGTTTCATATTCTGTATTGAAAAATAAATTCCACATGTAAAGAAATGTGTATTGTGTTAACATTATGTCTAGTGAGCACATAAATGCAGTATTTATTTCAAATATAAGGAGAATACAGATAAAAAAAGTCTCTTAAAGGTCTGAAGGTCCCGAAGGCAATGTATTAGTTTTCATTGCCTAATTTTTCATCATGTGAAGAATAGGTCCATGCGATAAATGTATTACATTGAAAGGATCCATAAGAGAGGCAGTGTAGGTAGCACAATAATAACTAACCATCTACAGGCTCTTAACAGCTGAAGATTTCCATTTTTGTATTCTTACAAGTTCTTAAAACTTGAAACAGATACAGAAAGAAAAATGGTTCTAAGAGTACTGCCACTTATATGTATGCAATTTGTGTGTTGAAATTGCTTTTCGATTTTATCCCATCAAAGTCCCTATTTATGGACTATGTGGATAATTCCCATCTTTGCTGTTTTGTAAAAAAGGGCAACTAGATGAAAATACTGAAATGGACATTTAGTTCTTTGCCACCAGGAATTATATTGCTTGATTGAACTTGACATATATGGTCAACAATCCAAGATTAAATGTCGTTGCATCATGTTTTGGCTTTCTCTAAACATTTCTCCTTTAATATATATACATATTTCTTTAAAATAGCTTTTTGTTCACAAAACATATTTAATTGATTCATAAACTGGAAGTTCTCCAGCAGGACAGACGTGGGGGTGTGTGTGCTCTTAAGAGTCTCACATGAACCCTGTCTGACAAACCATCTCCGAGATCTTTTTTAGATTGAAACCCTCCTGGAGGAGGGGCGAAGAAAGGGCAGCATCTCATCAGACCCAGGGGGAGGCAACAGTCCCTCACAGGTTGAAGATTTGCCCTCTGAATTGGAGTAGGGGCGGCAGCATGGCAACATGCTGCACAAGAAGCTGACTTCCAGCCAAAGCAAATGAACAGGAGTGTGAGGAAGAGATGAAAGACTGAAAAGAAAATTCATCTAACCCACAGCCATAAATCAAACTTGGAAAAGGCAAAGAATCTTGAGAGAATAAATAATATTGATGATCAGATCGGGATTTTTGTAAAAAGAAAGGAAGAAAGAAAAAGAAAAACAGGAGCCATTTGTTTGA